TGCTTTGTTTGCCAAATACTGCTTCATCAGAGTTCTCCTCCCTAGCCTCCATACCCTTTTACACAGAATGGCTGTTTTTTAAAAAAAAATAAAATAAAATACAGCCTTAGAAAAGGTCACCATCTCTTTCATATTCCTGCTCCTCACTGTGAGCCAGTGTGGCTCCTGCTTTGGCATTGGAAAAGGCTAAATAGGGAGGAGGGAAAGATGGAGTTCCAAATAATAGAATATAAACAGAGGGAGCTAGAAAAGAATAGGAAAGGAGATAAACACAGTGAGGAGACGTTAACAATAAAAAGGCTAATGGAGACAGAGTCTCTCTGTCTCTCACACACACACATATGGACAGATACACAAATCTGCCTAGCTATCTGTCTATCTCACAATGAAACAGTAGGAGAGGAAGACAGCAAAGAAACAAAGAATCATTTTACAAACCATTATTGAAAAGGTGCCTGTGAGGTCCAGACTAGCTTGCTTGCCGTCAGAATCTCACAGTTTCTGCCACGTTTCAGGCCAGAATGGGCATATGAGAAAAATGTGAAAATTGCTTCAAGTGTAATGTGTGAATTGTGAATCTGCTCAAAAGCAACTAGGAGAACAGAGTGCCCCCTAACATTCAGTTGTTATCACATTGGTCTCAAGTTCAGTTATTGTATGAAAAGGAAAGAGAGCTGTAGTTGTCACTCTGCTACTAACTGCAGAGACGAAAATTGAGCTCATTCTGTCTAACAAAACTAATTAGCAGATATAGGCAAATATTAATTTGTTTTCATTTTCTTAAAGTTAACCTATTGTATATCAACAGCATCAGATCAGATGTCGATCAGTAAAAACAATAAATCAGTTAAGACCTAAAACATTCAAAATAAAACTGTATAAAAAGACACACTATTGCGATGGTCCCGAGAGTCTAGGAAAATAGCCAGGTCTTCATTTAGCATTGAAATGTTGGTGATGGAATGGCTTTGGAGGGGGAGCTGTTTTGTTTATATGAACACCTATGGTTTCCATGGCCCACCAAAACCATAAGCGAAACTTGATTAAGTTGCTGTACATAATGAATGTGCTGAAAATATTTTGGAGGGGGAGGGTGTCAGAAAGCACTGCCACTGGGCTTTTATTGCATAAACATTTTTTTATTACTATGACATGCTGAAACAAACTGCTGAGTTTTCAGAGGTAAAAAGGCAAAACTTCTGATGCCTCCTTGACACCTGGCTGAGACCATAAATTATCTTGGCTATTTGGATCGTTCCAGTGATTCTTTATAATGAGCACAAACTGATCAGAAATCAAGACTTACATTTCATAAAATGGCATCGCTTTGTACATAATATTGCAATAATTTGGAAAAGAATAAATGGGAAAAGTACTTGAATCTTCCTAATGGTGTCTTATGCATGTTACTAAGATACTATATTATGCATTTGTCGCCTTGTTGTATACCTGTTGAATAAATTTCTCCATGTTTACTATTGACATCATACAAGTAGGTATGCTTTGACCTAGAAGACTAGAAGCAACCTCTCCAAGTATTGCATGACAATACCCATAATTCCCAGCACATATGGCAATTCTGTATTATGTGAGTCTCCCCAGTCTTGAATAATTTGATGGCTCAGAAAACGGTTTTATAAAGTTATATTCCAAAAGAGAGAGATAACATTTTGAATTAACCCTAGGAGTTGGATTTTAGATAGGTACTAGTCATTTATTGGATTGCTGTTCTTCTTTATATATTATATAGTCACAACTGGATTCCTGCTAACAAAAAACATTTTCTCAAAATGAATATATGTAAACTTTTTAAAATGGACTTTTATATTGTAGTTTTCCTGGGTGATCTCTCCTTTCTAGAGACCTAGATTTTTTTAAAAAAAAAATGTCACTTGAATACCATTTTAATTACAAATCAGAAAATTCCAATACTTTAAAAAATAGAAAACATCTACTACAGTGCTAGAAAAACCTATAGATCCACCTTGCTTTGGCAAAGGAATGAAGTAATAATAAGGCTTTTAGATATTATTACTGTTTGTATCAAATTGTTTTCAAGAAGTTCTGAGAATTAAGAATATAATCAAAGTGTTGATGTGTTTTTTTCTTTTCCATAAGGTTCTGGTTTCATGCTTTAAATGGCACCATTCAGATAGTGTCATTTCTTTGCAAACTTTTTAAAGCCAATTAGTATATTTCGCCTGACTGTAGCTCAATGTGTTTCACATTTTGAAGTTATGAAGTCAGAAGTAAACCCTTTGAAGTAAATGAAACTTCAGTTCAAGTAACCAGTAGTTGACTAGTTGATTTTAAACTCCTCTGCATCAAACTTTACCAGTTACCAGTGGTACCATTAAATGCCTCTAGTCATTTTCACTTGTCTGTATCCCATTTCATTGTTAACTAATTACTTATGATAAATTGAGTGAGAAGCATGTTGCCCATGGAATTACTTATTCAAATATACTAGTGGATATTTGCAAGTAGAAAAATATTTGGAATAAATTAATTATATATATTTTACTGGAAGAGATTTCATACTTAAGAATTCTTGCTTTCCATTGGCCTGCATGTAATGATATCCAGAAGCATTAAGCAGATAACCCATTTTGTTGCAATATTCCTCCTTCCCCCAGAATTAACTCATATTTTATAATTCTTAAATAATTTTAAGAAGGTCATTACATTAAAATATGACATAAAATAATCATCCTAAAAAGGCATTGCATTTTTTTTTAGAACAGCAGTCTTAGATGTGTTTACTGCAAATGTCCCACTTATTTCAGTGAAATTCAGTCTCAGGTACACAAGGCTAAAGCTAAAGTTTCCCCACAGGACTTTATAAATAAATTGCCTTTGGACCTTCTGCCCCATACATCTTTATCTGGTCTGAAACTTCTTACAAATTCCCTAGGGCAAACTTGATGCTCTTGATGTGTGTTATATTAATATTTTCATGATTACCAGGCAGAATGAATGAAGAAAATAACTCTAGTAAAACACAACTGGATGGCACCATATTGGAAAATATTTTAATAAAAACTCTAATTCCATTTTATCTGTCTTGCCACTGGCTTCATGTAGTACTAACCAGTGGTGGGTTTCAGCAGGTTCTGACCATTTCTGGAGAACTGGTAGCAGAAATTTTGAGTAGTTTGGAGAACCAGTAAATACCACCTCTGACTGGCTCCGCCCCCATCTATTCTCTGCCTCCCGAGTCCAGCTGATCGGGAAGAAATGGAGATTTTGCAGTAACCTTCACATGGAGTGGAGTGGGAATGGAGATTTTACAGTATCTTCCCCTGCCACGCCCAACAAGCCATGCCATGCCACGCCCACCAAGCCACACCCACAGAACCGGTAGAAAAAATTTTTGAAACCCACCACTGGTACTAACGCTCACATTCACAGTGGATTCATTCATTTAGGGTACTTGGCCATATAATACTTGCATAAACGTTGATTCAGTCCCCATGAAATCAACCTTATTTCTTTTGCACCTTTTGTTTACTTAGCTCTTGCCTGTATGACCAAATATCCCTTGTTATATGGGTAAGAAAGACTGGTGCGTTTTGTTTTTCATCATTTATTATTCATATACTTGTAAAGAACTAAATCAGGAGATTTTTAATGCGTAAGACGTACAATGGTTAAAATGATTTTACATCTTTTATATCTTATTGATGAAAATTGGAGTCCCTGGAGTTAAGTATGATAAGTGATTAGATACATAAATGCCATCTTTCATCACTGGTATTATGTGAGTTATTTTCTTCTCTTCCTATGGCTTGAATTATCTAGACATCAAAGAAATGAGGCTACTGAAACTCAGAATGCTTTCATAAGTATTAAATCCATGCCTCTACATATATATTTTCATCTGTGAATACCTTAATTCTTCATGGAGCTCAGTTTCATGCACTTTTCTGAGCTCAGAGATTTTTTTTTTATTCCCAAATTGCTGGAAAACAATGACACAGGAAAATGAGACAAAGTGGAAAGCACAAAATAATGTAACTAATTAAATGACAGTGGGCATAAAAAGGGGATTAGCTGGTGCCTTAAGAAATTGTCACAGAATCCTAATCTTATCTCTCCCTCTCTCTTCCCCTCCCAAGCCAACTGAAGTAATGAACTAGTTATAAATAGCTAATTAGTCATTTATACACTGCCCTACATGCAATATCTTGTTAAATGAAATTCCCTGGACCGATCCAGTATAGTGAGGTGTCTCAGAAAAGATAGAAAAGTAAATGGGGGATTAAGAGAGTTACTGTTTGTTAAAAGGATTATTGAAATGCAAGGTACGGTGGCATCCATAAGCATTATGATTAATTTAGCAAAAGGCACAGACCATTCTTACTCTCAGCCTCTTATCTTGGCAAAGTTATACAAAGTTAGGGAGAAACACAAACCACATTTGAACAATTTCAATTTGACAATTTGATAATTTTAAAGAATACATGCATAAGAAGAGAATAATATCCAGTTAACCGGGATCCAACAATAATAACATGTAGGTGCTAAAATACTATGATCATGAGGGTTTTTTTTCCCTAAATATATAAGCAGGAGTTTTATTTAAGCAATATCCATGATGTGGGATGCATTTCAGTTCAAAAATGTCAGGTATTTCTTGTTTACTTTAGCATTTTGGATCTTGAAACACTAAAAATGGGTAGTGCCTCCTGTATCTTAGACATTTATAAAAATCTGTTTATAAGAACTGATACAACATGGACAAACTGGCTGGATCAACCATTAGACTAAATATATTGTTGTTACATAATTCAAAGCTGCACATCTATGGTAAGTTTTCTAGCTGCCTCTCACTTTTTTTAAGATCAGGATTTCTTTCTATATTGTTTTCTTCCTCTCTCTACTTCTTCTAGTCTTACTACCATATTTTCCTTGTTTCCCTTCTTTTCTTTTTCCACCTTCAACCATTGCTCCTTTGTGGTGATCTATCCCACTCTCCCTGGCCCTGGTCCCTCTCTCAGGCATGCGAATATTGGTGAATTTGCTCTTGGACACATTACCCATGCTGGGGAATGTTCTCCTTCTCTGCTTCTTTGTCTTCTTCATCTTTGGCATCATCGGTGTGCAGCTGTGGGCTGGTCTATTGAGAAACCGCTGTTTCATGGATGAGAACTTGACAACGTGAGTGCTCAGGAAATGACTCTATTATTCCTTTTCAACTTTGTAAAGTCTCTGTTCTTCCTCAATTTTATTTTATTTTTTACTTTGATATTGAGCTAATCCCAGTCCCCAAGTCCCTCACTCTTGTGTACTACGTCTAAAAGTTCCATTTGCTTCTTGAAAGGAACCTGTGACAATATTGAAATTACTGTTGTATGATTATGTATACCATCAACATGAAGATTCAAAGATTATCATAAGATTAAAGTATTGGAGACGATGATGTAGTCCAATTCCTCCTTGATGCAAAAAATTAAGACAAAGAACATGGATTGCTAGTCTCCGTTTTTCAGGGTAAAAGAATCCATAACTTCAAGTAAATACTTACATGTTCAAACTATTATAATTTATTAAAATTCATAGATAGATAGATAGATAGATAGATAGATAGATAGATAGATAGATAGATGATAGATAGATAGATAGATAGATAGATAGATAGATAGATAAAACAACTGAATTACTTGCCCTTCCAAAGTGTTGGAGAATTAACTGCTGTGACCTTCATCCAGAATAATCTATCAGTTCTAAAAACTGTACAATACATTTGAAGGGAGTTGGGTTAGGTAAAACTGCATGGTACCCTCTCCCTTTTCTCCCTTTCCCTTCAGGTTTTATAGCTTCTCATATGGTTCCCCACATTCTTCCTCAGTATTGAAGCAGACGATATGTGAATCAGGGTGATAATTTCAAGGAGAACTGTGGTGCTAACCTTTCTGTTTGTCTGTCTAGGATCTCCAGGATGCTGGCATGTGCAGATTCTTAACTTTTCCTCTCTCTAATTTTACACAGTGCTAGAAATCCAGCCTATGGTGCAAATGTGTAGTTTGCACCATAGGCTAGTGCAAATTTTTTTTGCTTTGACCCAAGATTATTTCATGTTTTGATTCATATCATATCAAGAATCGCAGCAATATGGACTTTCCAATGAATATATATTTATGGTACATAATTATAAAGCATTTTTAGCATTTTAAATACATTTTCTGTGGTTTTTCTCCCTACTTATAAAGAATTAAACAGGTAGTTGTTTTATTCACATTACATTTTAAAACATTATAGTATACAGCTGAAGCAATATCATGAGTAAAGGAGCAGATTATAAAATGGGTGAACTCATGGTTTAAAATTGTACTCCAATATTTTTAGATCATTCGTTCTTTTTTTAATTTTTACAGATTTTTATTTTTCTGAGCTTCTACTATTTTAAGTTTTGATTCAATATTGTGGGAAGTATTGCTATCACATGTTGAGAAATAAGTATGCTTAATGATTCCATATGCTGGCATGGTACCAGATTACCCATTTGCTCTAGGAAGCATCTGTTCTCTATTTTAGTTCTAATTGTGTCACAAGTCTTTCTCTCAAGGAAAAAATGGATAAAAACATGCTCTTTCCTTGGCCTTTTTCAACATCTCTTCCCAAGTGTATAGAAATTGGATTTTCTTGAGTTATAATCACTTCAGATCATCTTCTAAACTATTGGTCTGGGTCAACTTGAATGAGCCACAAAGTTTTCTGTTTCCTTCTCCATATCATATTTTGCTATGACTTCTGAACAAACCAATAGTAGTTAACAAACCAATAGTGGTTAACATAGCATTTCTCCTCCAAATAAGAATTATAAACTAGTGCTGTTCTAGAGTTCAGGCTGAAACACAGAGGGAGCTGAACCATACATGCTAATGCCATTTCCAGTTTTCCTATATCTTCAATTTGCAAATTTTCTGAACTTTTCTGAAGAAGAGGAGATCCTTCATTCATTCATTCATTCTTTGAATACCTGCCCAGGTTCCTGCTTTCAAGGAATCATTTAAATGCATTGAGCTGGGTACAAGAAGAAAGAACCTTCTTTTAGTCCTAATGTACCAATGGAACTAATGGGTAGAACTGGCAAAAATAGAGTAATAAAATTACTTTCCACTCTGTTTTTAGTACTCAGAGAAGACTTTCTGATTGGAAATCTACTATTTTCTAATTCTGCTTTAGAGAACAAGCATTGACACAATAAAAAATTACAGATTTAGTGTGCTATGGGGAACCTGGTCACAAACAAGCATGCAACTGTGGAACTCGGTCTTAAACTGGATCTTTTATTCAATGTAATAAGCATTTTACTTTTGTTCTTGTTAATATTTCTAATTCTTGCCAATATCTCTGGATAGATAACATTATTAATCCTCTGCTGTACTAGATTTTTATTATGGTTTGTCATAGTTAGCCAGCTATTTGGGGTTGGATTTGGCATTTTTTTGTCCATTTTCTGAGTGCTTCCAAGAATCTAAGATAAGGAGATTTTGTTGTTTAATGATATTAATAGTACTAACATAGAATGTAAGCTATTCCAGGTAAAGCTGTCTTTTGCAATTGACTGATAGTGATTTTATCAGTGCTGATAATGTCCAAGGGGTCTCCAGATGTTTTGAAATTGTGCCCAAGGTACTTAGCATTATTGGTACTATCTTTGCTTTCTTTTGTCACAGTTGTTCTACTTCTATCTGCAGGTCTTTACATTTTGTGATTTTTCTCCATTATGCCCAGTCTACACAGATATTATTAACTATAATATTTGCCATAACAATTTTGTTCATGTGTTCTCTCAGACAAGGTAACATCACTCTTCCTCCCTATTATCAACCTGAGAAGGATGATGAAATGCCCTTCATCTGTTCACTGTCAGGCGATAATGGTATCATGGGCTGTCACGAGATACCCCCACTCAAAGAACGGGGCCATGTGTGCTGCTTGGACAAGGATGACTACTTCTACTACACCTCAGTCAGGCAGGAGTTCAACGTCAGTGGCATGTGCGTTAACTGGAACCAGTATTACAATGAATGTCGTACAGGCAATACCAATCCACACAAAGGGGCAATCAACTTTGATAATATTGGCTATGCATGGATTGTTATATTCCAGGTAATCTGAATATATAGTGATAATATATTCTATATCGAATATATAGTGATAAGACCACTACTCATTATAAAGATGAGGTCCCCAAAACACCTTTTCAAGAACGATCTATCCAGGGCCTACTCCAGATACGTGGTTTACTGTGGCAATGAACAGCAATGGACCTCTCTGCTTAATTTTACTTGAATCCTAGCAGTGTCTGTTTCAAGTGGCTGATTTTGAGAACTGTGGTTTATTTCAGGGGTATGGCATGAAGCAGTCCTGTGTCTCTAAGCCAGTGATGCATAATCTTTTGGCAAACGGAGCTACATTTTGTGTTTAGGCAGACAATAGGCACAACCTATTAATTTTAATTTAAAGGAATTGATAAAAAAAAAAGATTTAAAATCATTAAATGAGAAAACTAAACTAAGTTAAATTAAACTAGAATTAAGAAGACATTAAATTAAGGAAGCTAATATGATTCCTAATGATATTTAAAATGTTCTAATAAGTTTTGTGAGGGTCACATCCAATGCTTTGGAAAACTATGGGGAAATAAATGTACCTTGACATAACATATTATGAAATACAATTTGACAGCATCAGGCTAGGGAAAGTTGCTTTAATAGTCCATAAGGATTTTCTTTTTTGCTTTTGTCAGTATTTCTTTAAGATGCCTTACCAAAAAAAAAAGAAAGAAAAAAGGATAATCTATCTCCTTGTAGCTACTGAAATATTTTCTATTCCCTCTTTCTTCTTTCAGGTGATCACTCTGGAAGGATGGGTGGAGATTATGTATTATGTGATGGATGCTCATTCATTTTACAACTTCATTTACTTCATTTTGCTGATCATTGTAAGTACAATAGTCCCTTCACTGAGTAGATAAAATATGCCCTTCACATGAGAGAAACAAACGTTACAGCCCAATAAACCAGGGAGCTGAACATTTATGTTCTTTGAAGTAAAATAGCAGTTGCAAATAATTCTAGGAGATACCGATTTCAAATCCTTTCTTTGAAATAGCAAAAAATCATTCAAATTGACTTTGCCATTCTTGAATTCTTTCTAAGGTCTTTGAAATCTGTTGTCATATTTAAGTACTAATTTATAATCATGTTCCAAAAGCTTATAGTTTAAACAGACTTAAAGAATATTCCACAAATCCCTTATGTGACAGGAAGGAAAGAGCTTAGTGATGGTCATAGATAACACTAACTACTTAAATGGCAACAAAATATCTAAATTTTTCAAACTTCCCAGCCAGCCAGAATATGGCCAAAAATGTTTTTTATTTTTATTTATTTTATTGGTTCGATTTATATGCTACCCTTCTCCGGAGACTCAGGGCGGCTTACAATGCATTAAGCAGTAGCCTTCATACTTTTGTATATACCTGCTTAGTAGAGCTTTTGGACCCCCCTAAGCGGTGTTCTTTTTTATACAAAGTCAGCTTATTGCCCCCACAATCCGGGTCCTCATTTTACCTACCTCAGAAGGATGGAAGGCTGAATCAACCTTGAGCCTGGTGCGATTCGAACTTGCAGTAATTGCAGGCAGCTGGCAGCTAAGTGCTATTTAACACTGCTTTAGTCCACTGCTCCACCAGGCTCCTTGGTCATAGAGGTTCCTTGGTTCCATGGCCATAGAATTTTGGGAGTAGCCATCCAATGCATTTGGAAGGTATCAGGTTGCAAAAGGCTGTGATAGGAAATTTTGTATATTAAAAAGATCTGTACACTTTTGTAATATTTTTATACCATTTTATATTCATGTTCATGTTCATGTCAAATGAGCAAGTGATGATAAATCATTGACAATTGGATTAAATTATTCCAACTTTATTTATTAATATATATATATACCAACATTTAGATTTTCTGAGTTTCTTCGTTTATATCTACATGCAGGATTTGAGCAGGAATTAAAAAAAAAAACCTATAAAGCTATTGGGGAAAGAAAAGAGGAAAGTATTGGCTATTGTTGGATTGAAGAATATCAAGGCTGATGACTAACCCCAGAGAGACACTATTAGTGAGAATTAGAATGTTCTTTATCCTTTGTGCATAGGGCCTTGACAATTTATTCATAGATTCCTAAATGCTCCAGAATTGGAATCCAATATAGGCAATGAAGGCAATATAGCCATATAGGCGTATATAGGCATATGACGGCAATATAGCCAATGCTGATGTATAGGAATCAATGGGCACCAAAAAAGGGTCTGACTGGAAAAGCTATTTAATTGGTTTCCTTAAAACAGGATGCACGGTTCAGAGCCCTGGGATTCTTTAGGGAGAAAACAGAGAGTAGCATTGATTTACGAGCATTCCCTCTTCTTTATGCATGTTAATAAAAATAGCATTTAAGCAAAACGTAATACAGACTAGTACTAGTTTTCTCTGCAAGAAAACAACCAAGCTCAGAGAGCATCAGAAACGCCTCATAATACATTTTCCAATAGAAGTGAATATTTGAAGCTCAGGGTTGAATTGTGGAGTCTGCAGTCTTAAACTTCAAGCAGGTGTATGTATCAGCTCAGTTAATTCTAAGTCTATACAGTCCCAATTTCTTTCTAATTCCAAAACAACATGCCTCTGAATATTTTCCACAGGACCCCTTGCCAGATGGGTCCACAGCTGTCCAAAAGTCGTCTGAGTCATCCCTAAGTGCTCCCATTCAAATCCAGGGAGCAGCACTGCCAGAGAACCAGCTCTGGCAGCAAAATCAGCAAACTGTCAGCAGGAAAAGGAAAAATTCCTACAATTCAGCAGCCATCTTGGGGGTGTCTCCCTCACGCATAATTATTCCTATGCAATCAACCTACAGTAATGGTCAAAGCACACAATAATGGTTAAAGCAAGGCCCTTAGACTGTACTGTATTACAGGTAGTCTTTGACTTATAACAGTACATTTAGTGACTGTTCAAAATTACAACAGCACTGCAAAGTGACATGACAATTGTTGGAAGAAATGTCCATCTGGGTTCAGTTCCAAGTGGGGAAAAAGACACTGGAAACATGGAGACTGCTTGGAAAGATGGTTTAATGGTGGACAGGAATCACATGGCTTGAGTTCCTGAGTAAAAAAGGGGGGGCAAGATTGGCTGGGAGTGCCTTGGTTTTATGCCCTCTGTTGGGCGCCACCTCTAAGTGTTTCCTCTTCCTGTATAAGAAATGTATCCTGATTGGTTGTGAGACTCCCAGGGGGTGGGGGTCTTTGTAGGCTGTCTCCCAAGCTTCCTTGAGCCTTGCCATGTAGTGTTTCTGTTGCTAGTGAGTTTCTGTTGGTAGATGGGTCCTATTGTGTTGCAGATGATGGTCCATTGACAAAGGTGGGGGGAAAATGAGTGAGCTTGGCTGAAGCCTTAATGGCCCATTGACAAAGGTGGGAGGGGGAGGCAGGGAGCTGCTTTGTCTTTAAAACATGTTTCTCCATTTCTCATCCAGGGAAATATAGTATTCTGCCTTTTTAATATTTCCTAAAATATTTCATTCTTCTAGGAGTGGTGTGAGTGCTAACTTCCTACATCATTTTTCACATTTATGACTGTTGCAGCATCCCAATGGTCATGTGATCAAAATTTGGACGCTTGGCAGCTGACTCATATTTATGACAGTTGCAGTTTCTCTGGGTCATGTGATCACCTTTTGTGACCTTTTTAAAAGATAAATCAATGGGGAAGCCAGATTCACTTAACAACTGTGTTACTAATATAACAATTGCAGTGATTCAGTTGCCACAACTGCAGCAAGAAAGTTTGTAAAATGGGGCAAAATTCACTTAACAAATGTTTCACCTAGCAATAGAAATGTTGGGCTCAATTATAGTCGTAAGTTGAGGACTAATGACTATTATTGAGTTCTCAATTCTTCCATTTTTTTCTTTCTGTAAATTGAAGTTAAAATTCCCACCATTTCTCTTAAGCTAAGACACAGCTTCCGTGTGAGTCCCCCATCCCTGTGATTTTATTTATTGGTTTGCAAAATAGAGAGGGTATTATAAAAGTTAACTCCAAAATGCAGTATTTGGGAAAGCATTGACTTGCAAAAAGTTGCTATGGAGGAATACTCACTATTTCTTTCTAGTAAGAATTTCTATAAATAGGAAGACAATAAGACCAAAAAGAAAAAAAAAAGGAAGTTAAAATACATGTTTGGAATTGGAATGAGCTTTCAAAATTCTTGCTCAAAGGACATAGAAAAAGAAAAGCACTTGTTTGGCAAAATTCTCAGATGTTATAGGGATCAGTATAATTCAAACAGCATATACAAGTATTCAGATTCAAAACAGGAAAGGTCTTTGATCCCAGCAATAGTACATTTGCTGTACTTGACAACAAGTACCAAAGAAAGCAACTTTTTAAGACTTTGCTGACAGATGTTGTGAATGCATTCACACTATATCCGAAGCACCTTTCCTGCTTTGGCTCCAAATACCGCACCTATTTAACAATTCTAAAGCACTCTGTTGTTCTCCGCATGATGCAGATCAATGAATCAGGTGAAACAAAAGCGAATACCATTGTAACAGATTTCATAAATCTTGCGAAATGTGTGAGATGGAAAGGACTTTAAATTACAATACATCTAGCCTCAGCAGTTGGCTATCTAGCTTGCCCTCATCCAAAAACTTCCAGCAAGTAGCAATCCCCCAGTTCTGAAGCAAATTATTCCACTAGTAATAGTTCTTGCCCGACTATTTTAAAATAGCTGACAAAGCCTTTTTAAAAAACACTATTTTATTTTGAAACAGTGAACTATTCTGATACTGAAGCTGGCCAGGAAAGGCTTAGTTTTTCAAAGGCTAATTCAAGTGCTAGCAGAGGCCTGGCCCCTTTGAAATGCTAAAAGTGAATGAAAGGACTATCTGATAGAGCCCTCTGGCACTTTTGTCTAGGTGAGCTGCGCAGCAAGAGTAGAAGGGTATCATGGTCTATTGTTCTATGGATAATTATGTTTGAAAGCTTCTAGGTGGAAAAACAGTAACTCTTTTCCTCCTTTTATGACCTGAGGAGATGGCAGTATTAAATTCGCCCTTTATTTTCTGTTACCTCTTCCTAGCCTGAGGTTTGTACACAGTTGCTCTTTAGGCAGATTGAACTTTGAAAGATATTTAGAAAGATGCTTGTTTGTTATTTTTATCCTGACATTTATGTCATGTTGCACAGGATAATAGCAAATATTATTTTGTTTATGGGATGAAGGCTATGGGATAAGTAATGGATGGTGAAAAAATAAATTCAGTTATTGTTTGCTGTTAATTGGAATGACATGAGGATCTACATAACATGTTTGAGTCCCCTTTGTAAAAAAAAAAAACAATCTTTCATAACATTTCATTTAAGAGTAAGAACGTATATGATATTAACGTAACACCAGAACTACCATTATTAATATCCTTCCTAAGTTTTTAAAATAAGAACAAATATTGTTATCTTGTATGGTTTCTAAAAACAAACCAGAAGTAGAGAAGTGTTTGGTTTTTTGGTTTTTTTACTAGAGAATAAAAACAGGCTTACAACCTTAATTATCTTTATCTAATCTGGTGATTTCCAGGTGTGTGTGTGTATGCATATGTATATATATAGTTTTAGCAGTGTTAAAGTTAAACCCATTTGAGGCTTATGCTGTAAATATTTCTATTGCATTTCTAGACTTTCATCCTAAAATGGCAGGAAAATGTGACACTAATGTTCAGCAATCTTACAACTAAAATTTGACAGTGGCAACAGAATGAATTACAGGTTCTGAGGAAAGGATTTTGCAATCCTTATTTATTTATTATTATTTATTATTCATATTTCTATGCCGCCCACTCTCCAAGGACTCTGGGCAGCTTACACCAAAGACAGTATACTAAATAGGATATTGCCCCCAACAATCTGGGTCCTCATTTTACCCACCTCGGAAGGATGGAAGGCTGAGTCAACTTTGAGCCGGTGAGATTTGAGCCGGTGAGATTTGATCCGCTGATCTGCTGAACTAGCAGTTAGCTGAAGTAGCTGCAGTACTGCACTCTAACCACTGTGCCACCTCGGCTCTATATCCTTGGACTCTAGATTACCGACACCTAGTCTAATCCTTGGACTCTAGATTACTGACACACATGCATAAACACACACATTAGTGTTTTATGCCTGGGTTTTTTTTTTACCTTTAATCACCACTACCTTACACACAAACACCCGCCATTAATGCTTTATCCATGCCTTTTCTCTTGTTTCTTAGGTGGGTTCCTTTTTTATGATCAATCTGTGCCTAGTAGTCATTGCCACCCAATTTTCTGAGACCAAGCAACGAGAACACCAACTGATGCAAGAGCAGCGAGCACGATACCTGTCCTCCAGCACTGTGGCCAGCTATATGGAACCAGGAGATTGTTACGAAGAGATCTTCCAATATGTCTGCCACATTGTTCGTAAAGCTAAGCGTCGTACCCTTGGCTTCTACAACAGCCTGCAGGATCGTCGTCTCGGCCAAACAGAAACAGGCACTGCCAAACAGAGAGTGAATGGAAAAGACCGGAAGCAATACTGTAAGGTTTATAAACTAAGCCTGCCAAATTAAGGGATACAGGGTGGGGGAGTGTAAATGACTATTAAGACCCTCACTGTAAATCAGACTACAGATCAGGGGTGAAATGTAAAAATTTTTACTACCGGTTCTGTGGGTGTGGCTTGGTGGTGGGGGGTAATGTGACTGGGTGGGCATGGCCAACTTTTTTTTTTTTTTACTTTTAAAAGCATTTTTTCTACAACCTTAAGAGTTTGCAGAAAAAATGCTTTTAAAAGCCTCTGACGATCAGGCAACTCAGCTGGGATCATCAGAGGCTTTTAAAGGCATTTTTTTTCCTACAACCTCTTCGGCCAAACAGGTTGCAGAAAAAAATGCTTTTAGAAGCCTCTGACAATCAGGCAACTCAGTTGGGATCGCCAGAGGCTTTTAAAGGCATTTTTTTTCCTACAGCCTCTTCGGCCGAAGAGATTGCAGAAAAAAATGCTTTTAGAAGCCTCTGACAATCAGGCAACTCAGCTGGGATCGTCAGAGACTTTTAAAGGCATTTTTTTTTCTACAACTCCTTCGGCTAAAGAGGTTGTAGAAAAAATGCTTTTAAAAGCCTCTGACGATCCCAGTTGAGCTGTGCGATCATCAGAGGCTTTTTTTAAACTTTCAAAAGCATTTTTTCGGCTGAAGAGGTTGTAGAAAAAATGCTTTTAAAAGTAAAAAAAACAGCCTCTGATGATTGCGCGGCTCAGCTGGGCATTGGGGGGGGCACAGGGATTTTTGCTACCGGTTCTCCAAACCACCCACCGCCATCGCTACCGAATCGGGCGATCCGATCCAAACAGGGAGCATTTCACCCCTGCTACAGATAGTTCTTGACTTATGACTGGTCACTTAATGACTGTTCAAAGTTATGATGAACCCACCCCCCCAAAAAAAGTACTTATGATCCCAATTTGAAGTTCTGATGGCTGCTCATCCCACAGTCACATGATGCATTTTGGGCACTTGGCAACCAGGCCATATTTACAGCCATTTGCAGCATTTCATGATCATATGACCATAATATATGACTTTTTTTGCTGAAACCCAGCATTTACTTCCAGATTCCAGCAAAAAAACCCCAAAACACCTATTACAGAAAATGGGTTCATTTAATGATTGTGGATTCACTTAATGACCATGATGATATGCCTAACAACTACTGCAAAAAAAAGTCATAAAATTGAATCGGTCACTTAGCATCTGGCAGGACTGTAATGCCTGACTCAATTAAGGTCATAAATCAAAGACTACCTTTACAAGGTATCAGTCATTAGACAGTCCTTTTCCAGATTTTTTTAAAAAATATTATAAATTTTCCATTTAAATTGTACAAACGTCTTTATAAAAATGCATTTGTATATCCAGTTTCTATTAACTGGAAACATATGGAAAGTGTGAGCACTTTGAGAAGGAAATTGCATCCCAAAATTCAAAGAAGGATAGCTGAATCCTGATTTGTATAATAGCCAAAAAATTAAACAAGATTATTTACCGAAGAATGGTGACTGAACAACATTATGTTCCATCCCTACTTAAAACAATTGTTATACCTAGATTAATGGAAGGTACTATATAGCAACGATCCCCAAACTTTGTGGCTCCCTGGACTGGCAGTAGCAGCCATGGTGGCGGTGGCGGCGGGGGTGGTGGTTTTGCATCAGTGGTGAGTTGCTCCTGGTTCTCACCAGTTGGCAAGAACCGGTAGTAAAAATTTGTAGTAGTTCAGAGAACCGATAATAACATCGGCTGGCCATGCCCCTGAACCAGTCCTCGGCCCAGTTGCCGCTCGCTTACCCCACCCACCTCATCAGAGGCTTTTTTTTAAAACTTTTAAAAGCATTTTTTCTACAACCTCTTCAGCCGAAAAAATGCTTTTAAAAGTTTTAAAAAAAGCCTCTGATGATCGCGCGGCTCAGCTGGGATCGTCAGAGGCTTTTAAAAGCATTTTTTCTACAACTTCTTCAGCCGAAGGGGTTGTAGAAAAAGAATGCCTTTAAAAGCCTCTGACGATCCCAGCTGAGTTGCCTGATCTTCAGAGGCTTTTAAAAGTATTTTTTTTCTGCAACCTCTTAAGGTTGTAGAAAAAATGCTTTTAAAAGTTAAAAAAAAAAAGTTGGCTACGCCCACCCAGTCACATTATCCCTCCCCCACCAAATAAGCCACGCCCACAGAACCCACCCCTGTTTTGCATGCACAACCTAGCTCCTGTCCATGTGCAAATGAAAGCTTTGTGCACTCACATGCTGCTTGTGGGGCACGGGGTTTGGGGACCCCTGCTATATAGGACAGAAAAAACATAGGAGAATATATTTAAGAATTTACATGTTTAGTTGGTATGTTATTGGATATATTATGTACAATTTTTGATTTAGCAGCAGAGAATGATACAGAATATGAAGTGGGGAAATAGAAATACAACTGTGCAAATTACTAGCTTTTATGAAAAGGATAAGAGGCATCTATAGTACAGATCATTCACAATAATATATATAATTGGTGCAAAAAAATTTGAATGTATTGGACTAAAAATACTATAATTTTAATATAGTGTTTTGGTCCAATAAATTCAATTCCCAAATATTGGAGGAGTCTTCAGATATTGTTTCAAGGGTCCCAGCCACGATTAGTAGAACAGTGGATTTCTTTTTTTCCATAAGCATTAAACTTCATTCTGCAAGTCCCAATATTTTGCAATCTTTTCTCAATCCTAACATCAACTGGTATAGGGACATCAATGAATTATTATTATTTGTTCTAGCCCCGTGATGGCGAACCTATGGCACGCATGCCCAAAGTGGCACACGGAGCCATGTCGCCTGGCACACGCGGCTTTGCCCATTCCTCTTCCGGGTTTCTGGCGCGCATGTGCATGCGACAATCAGCTGGCCTTTGGGCATTGGGCCATGCCGGAAACCGGAAGAACTGGTCTGTGAGCCAGGAATGGGGCTTCCTCAAACTTCAGAATCAGGAGTGTCCAGAAAGGAGGACCAATGGGTAATTCTCCCTTCTGCAGCATCATCGGTCTCCGGGCAGAGTCTCCCTTGACTCCACCCACTGGAGGAGAGAGTTCCATGCAGAGAAGAAGCCTAAGTTGGTTATTCAGGCCAAGTTCCCCCCTCCCACTTTCTCCGCTTCTCTCTCTCCGCAGAACTGTCTCTCCTCCTTCAGGTGAAGTCCCAAGGACTCTGCTCGGAGACGGATGACACTCAAGCGGGAGAATTCTCATTGGTGCTGTCCTTTGTTCTGGCCCCTTCCCATCTCAAAAGTCCGAGATAAACACTTCCTCTCCCAATGCAGAACTGCGGATTCCTCCTCTGGGGCTGGAAGCATCTGGCCGGACACACATATGCATGAGCATGTGTGCTGTGGGCATGTGGGCGGCCAGCTGATTGCGCGCATCACGGCAGTAACTGGGAGACATGCTGGCAGAAACTGGAAGTACCTTATCCGGTGCGCACATGCCCCCTGGGCAGCTCCTCTTCCTGGTTGCAGCCCTGACATGCATGCGCACACTTCTTTTTTGGCACTCGGTCCCGAAAAGGTTCGCCATCACTGTTCTAGCCACTCATCTCCAAAACGCGATGTGAGAAGATTGATATGCTGCCACTGAATTCTCACAAGATTACCTTCATAACCACTAAAGTCTCATGTGATCTAGTGGCCTTTTTCCTGCAATACATATGGTTATCATTGAGCTATGGCCTTTTTTTCCGATCATACAAATTTATTTTGTAGAAAATCAGCAAAATGTGACTTTGCCAGTGATCCTTTAAAAAAAAAAATCATACGCTTGTCAAGTCAGATATGCCTCTCTAGTTCTGCTCCATTTGCCAAGATAAGCTTTTTTGGATGATTTGACATATTATGTAGTAGCAAAGTCAGACTTACCATATTTTATATGCACAATATATAATATTTGAAATATTTTTCTTATGAGATCAATAAGGCTCCCCAGTTTTTAAAGAAACAAGCTTTCAATATTTTTTTAACCTCCAATATGTTACATATAGGTCATGGCCCTTATTTAATGATTCTTGCAGTCTAGAGAATTATTCCATCCATGCTATGTAAGTGAACACAATTGAGTGCAATCTATTGTGGCTGAAGTAGAGCGTATCTCTTAGAGACAAGCAATCTCCATTTAAAGTCTCTGATGAGATGTTTAACTCTTAGCAGTTCCAGTGCTTCATTTTCTTCTCCATTAAAATGGCCAACAACCCATTTGCTTTGCGTAATTAAATATTGAGATGCAGAACTGTATTACAAAAAGGGCATTTTTAAGCCTTACATTTAATCTCTTTGTGTATTATTAACCAGCACGTTGCCGGAAACATTCTTCTATTGATTACATGCCTCAAGGACTTGGTCAGCCTACTACCAAGACATTGGTCTCTGAACCCAGCAACTGCCCCAAATGTTACAAGGCTCAGCCAGAAGCAACCCAAAGACTTTCTGTGCTTGATAGTGTCAATTCAGACCAGGAAGATGGGAAAAAAGCCTGCGACCAAGAGGGAGATGGCGGGAAAGGAGTCATGGAGTCTAACACCGATTTGGAAAAAGAAGAGGATGATGGAGAAGAGAGAGGACAGCTCATGGTTTGCAATGATATGTGGCAAGAAGTAAGAGTCAAATTGAGGGGAATTGTGGAAAGCAAATACTTCAACCGTGGAATCATGATTGCAATCCTCGTAAACACCATCAGCATGGGCATTGAGCATCATGAACAGGTAAGGGACTGATAGGCACCTGAAACCAAAAAATTAATTCAGTATCCTGGGATAAAATTGTAAAGTTTCAAAAGGATGAATAATTATCATGTTGCAACCCCTAGGATATCTGTTGTGAACAGCAACATGACATTACCCATTTTCATTTACTTATCTAGGGAATTTGGCAACCTATGGGACTTGTGAATTATAGGACCAATGCAATCAAGTAGCAGCAATTTAATGCTGAGTTGAAAACTTAAGATGGTGAAATGAGACTCTATGACAGAGGTCCTCAAGTTTGGCAGCTTTAAGACTTGTGGACTTCAACTCCCAGAATTCTCCACCCAGCATAGCTATAGCTGGCTGGAGAATTCTGGGATTTGAAGTCCACAAGTCTTAAAGCTGCCAAGTTTGAAAACCCCTGCTCTATGATATCATCATAGAGTGCAATCACTGAATGGAGACTTTGTGGGATATAAATCTTACTGGACGGTTGGTAGACTGAAGCCAGAATCTTAGAACTAAGATTCTATTGATATTTGGCTTGAAAATGGGACAAATAAATTAGACAGGCATTAATCTGTTGGTTAATAGATCCAAAAACCACATATATTAGGACCAATCAAAACTATTATCAAACTTTTAAGCATCCAGATTTCATCTTTAAATCTTTAATCTGAATGTTAAATAAAATTGATATAATATAAAAAAAATAAAAATATAGGTATTAAAAGTTTGTAATATGTAAACATTTTAGAAACAGAAGCAGGAAGAGTTGTACAAATTAAATTACGGCAGTCAATGCTAAATTCAATGGCACCAAAGACTGATGGAACCAAATAAAACTAGTAGCTGTCACTTCATTTAATAAAAATCAAAATCTATTTGTTCTGCAAATGTACCCATTCTGGAAAATATTTAGTGACATTTTGCTTACATGGATGCTAATGAATGTATATTGAACCATATGTTGTAGTTTTCAGATAAAAGCTGAACATTGTTTTTTAAGATTATCAGGACTTAGTTAAGTGAATGTGTTCACTTCTAAGCAAATGTAGCTTCATTTAAAAAAGAAGAAGAAGAAGAAGAAGAAGAGAATGTCCTGAACTGAACTTATCTTTCTCTAGTTCCAACTAATAGTTATTCAAGTTCTGTGATTTTCTTTTGTTTTTCTTTATTCTTTGTCCTTCTGTATTTGGCCCTCACATCAAACATATATCTTTTTTTTTTGTCCCTCTCAACTGCCCATTCCTTCCCTGCCTATTCTTGTCTTTGCCACCTCCTCCTCCCACCTCTCTCTCTCTCTTTCTGTGTCAATTTTCCTTCATTAACTAACTGAAATCCTTAGTCTATTTGGCTTACTCTAATATGCTCTCTGGGGATAGCACAGGCACTTCGCCCTTTGCTCAAAGCAAATTCATCAGCTTGCCACTATTTCCAGCTTAATTAAGAGACAGAGAAGCACAGCCTGTCTGAACAGGGTAGAAAAGAATCAGGTGAACTGAGCTCCAGAAAGCTTTTTGCTTCTCCAAGTCACAGAGTGGCCAAGAACCGCCATTCCTGTGTGTTTCTATCTGATGAAGAATGGATTAATGTCAGAAAGAAGTGGTTGTATTCTGCCATCCATAAATGTGGCTCTCTCCACGGTCCAGGCCCTAGCATTTAATGATTGGTACCATTTCACTGTCACTTGAGTGGGCTGTAAGTCATCTATGACAAACCTCAAATGTTTGTACTGACAGTCTAAAGCTCAGGAGGCGTAGCTGACTGCAGTGGGGGCAGGGGAGCAAGCTGTTTTGAAGGCAAATCTATGAGGCTCAAAAATCTGCATTAGAATCTTTATAATTCTAGCCAGAAAAAGGAGCTTGACAGCCCTTGTTCTTGCAAAGGTTATTTTAAAAGTGGGAACAATGCACTAAGAGATTGTAAATGCACAAATGATGACTGTACTTATTATCTGTAAATGGCTCAGCGCTGGATGCCATACAATAATTTCATTAAAACAAACAAGCAAGTAAACACCGCCTGCAGGCTTGGAATCTAAATAGAGGCAGTTCTGAGAAAATGCACTAATCCAATTTTTAAAGGGTTTTTACTTCAATTTTCCCCCAAGAGTTGTTTTGATTTTTTTTCACATCATACAAGAACAGCCTTAGTTTAGCCTCATGTAAATTGATGGGCACATTTCAGTGTTAAATGTTAATCATCAGCAGTTAATTTTTGCAAGTTAGTTCTGTTCCTCCATATAATATATTTCTAGTCATTGCATCCTAATATTCTGTACATACTAATGTAGGTGGTCTATGGAAAGCTTATTTTCTGACTATTTTTAAAACAAATTTATGCATTCTGACCCTATGCAACATATTTATCTAGGGATTGCACAAGTTATAATCTAATATATTTGGAAGGCGGCAAGTTAAGAAAGGTTGATTAGGATAATTTTGCACATAGTAATACTATTCCAGCCCCATCAGAACATCTCCTAGGATGCTTCCTTTTTTGGCAGTCTTTTTCGACTGCTGTCCTCTAAATTAATTGGATTACCCATATCTGTAGGACATCAGGTTGAAGAAGACTGTCTTTCATAATGTTTCAATATATCAATAAATGGGGTCAATGATAATACTTTTTTAAAAATGTGTGTGAGCAACATGGTTGCCAAGTGATGAAGACGTTTGCTTCCAACTCAGACGGTTGAGAGTTCAGTCCTGGACAGATATTTCTTTCCTAGGACTCAGAGAAAAATATATGTGCTGTGAGCTCCTTAGGTGTCAGAAAGGCACCTGGCCAGTAAATGCTCAGCTCCATCTAATCACTCTGATTCTACCCCAGATCAAGGGATTGCAGAGTCATTAAGAAGGAGGTGTTTTTTAATGATAATATTGTTTTGTGTATATATGAATTCTGCTATTGGTTGAGCCTGATTCTACTCTACTCAAGCCCTTGGTTCCTCAACTGATATGTGTGCTTGCTTCAGTGCTGATATTCTTTTGATCATGATTCAGATTTCTTTTAAGAAATTTTAAAGTTTAGCTAATGGGACATTTGTGTGATAACTTATTTAAAAACCCATGTGTCGTTGGTGCTTACTGAAAAAAATATACCAAAAATGTGGGAAGTAACTCTGTGATGGTATTCATTCATTCAGTCAGTCAGTCATTCATTCAGTCATTCAGTCATTCAGTCATTCTTCATTCATTTCTCACTCCTTTATCAGTCAGTGACTTTGGGCAGTTTACAATTCAAAGAAATAGATTATAATTAAAATACTAAAAACACATTTTAAACAATAAAAACAATAGAACAATATAATGCTAAGCCAGTATACTGTATCTAAAACAATTTATCTATGTTATGTGCTATCCAAATTATAAGTTTATTGATCCTACAGTATTTTAAAGATGAATGGACATTTCAATTGAAATTTGTATCTATGTTTGCTTTCTGCAAACGCATATTACCTTAGCTTTTTTTTTTAAAAAAAATCTACATTAATTTTGCTCTAATTGAAACCTCTCTAATCATTGGTTTGCAGAAATATGCACTGCAACTATATCTCTGAAAGTGGTAAATTTCAAAATCCTGTGAGTTGATTATCACAAGGTAAAGGATATAAGAAAACATACGAATGAACTTTTAAACCTAGATGTTTTTCTAACAAATAATAGCATTCTAGGAGATAGCTGATATCTTGGGAATTTATGACTGATACAGTTAAAGATTTTACATGTAAGCAAGTCTTGTTAACAGGGCAGCAAAGCACTGCTGTCACAATGTGAACAAGAAAGAATGTTGTCATGACAGAGAAGAGAGTGACAGGGTCAGTAATCCCTCAGTTTAGTCACCTGTTGCAATCTGAAGATTCCTCACCATGATTTTTATGACACTGTAACTTCCAGTGCATTTGCTTTGAGTTCAAGTCACTTCTTACTGCTTCTTTTACATCTGTTACAGTATAGCAGATGATGTCCTGCCTCCTCATCCTCTGTATACGAATTAGTCTGTTTTGAAATCTGCAATATTGGAAAAAAATTCTTCATCCCTAATGTCCTTGTCCTACCTTTAATAAAATTCAGCAAAAGCCTTCCTGTTGTTATCATTTTGCTCTTTATAGAACCTTCTGGTACCTGTTGTACGGCACCAGTTGATATACCTATCTGTTGTTTAGAACCAGTGGTGGATTGCCACTGGTTCGCCCCAGGTTGGGCGAACCAGTGGCGGGGGCGGGAGGCTTCGCCCACCCGCCCAGATGCATTCACAGAAGCACGCCCATGAGGAAACTGGTAGCGACGGGATTTGAAACCCACTACTGTTTAGAACGTTTCAAGGTGAGACTTAGCCAGTTATTCAGCTCCATGCATTACAAACAATGGACCAATATCTACTAAAATCATCACATTTTCAGTTGCAAAGAACTCAGCACAGTTAACCCATTGTCCATAATACTAATAATCTAAACAAGGACTGGTGTTGTAAGCATAAGAACCTGGAATTGGCACTTTTACTGTAGTTTGATAGTCCTGTGAAATGGCAAGAATATTGCTGTGAATAATTTTGTAGACACTCCTGATAGCCAAACAGTGGAAAGAGAAAATGTAAGAACAGGCAAGCTATGCCTATGGAGGAATAAAATGAAATAGAACTGAGAACAAAGGTCAGGAGGAACCTTCCATCTTCATGCTTCAGGGCCTGGTGGCTCAGCAGACTGATAGCATTGTGATTAACACCAGCTGTCTGCAATTTCTGTAAGTTCGAATCTCACCAGGCTCAAGGTTGACTCAGCCTTCCATCCTTTCTAAGGTAGGTAAATTGAGGACCCAGTTTGTGGGGGCAATAAGCTGACTTTGTATAAACATACAAAAGTATGAAGGCTATTGCTTAACGCATTGTAAGCCGCCCTGAGTCTCCGGAGAAGGGCGGCATATAAATCAAATTTTTTTAAAAAATGCTTGACAAATAAATTAGCCAGATGTACTGTATGCAGCAGAAAATAAAGCTGAAGAAGTTACTTCCTG